TTCAATTGGAAAGCCTGAGGCAAAAAATAAAGGGAAATGCTGGACGTTTTAAGATATTTGAAAATACCTCCAGGATGGAGATTTAAGGACCAAACAGGAGGAACAACGTGCATGTGGTAACCCTATAACGTAACCAGAAGTGCTGTATGTGTAGAGTACACACCCTACAGTATATAAATACAGCAAATACTCTATCCTCACCTTGTACCCTAGTGATGTTTTCACATCCACTGCTGCTTCTTAGGATTTCAATAGCTTCATTATTGCTTGAATGGTCAGGATGCACACTGACTCACTAACCTGTCGCTGGAAACAGCACACAGAACATACTGAAATGCAGGGGGACCCGCTTTTACGCCAATGATCGCAACCTAAAAGGGAGTCCAACAGTAACTTTCTAGTAAAATCATTGCAAAAAGGGTTTTTTATTATATAAAAATAATTTGCTATATATGTTACTGTCTTGTTTTACACCTATGGGTGACTGAGATGTTTATGTGATTTGTACGTCTTTTCTATGCCCCGACATTACGGCCTCTGAACACAAAGCCCCGAACAAGGTTCAGAGAAACGTCGAGAAGCACAAGCAGACTACGTCGCCTTACAGTTAAATGTCATTTTCCTCAATACAGTACAGGGTGTCCTTATTTATCACATACTGTATACAGTTTTCAGTGTAACTTTATTTAGTACTGTTCTGTACATCATAATTTCTGTCGACACCCGAAGAAGGCTCCACGGCCGAAACGTTGTGTTTTCTCTCTTCTCTTTTCAACATGGAATAAACCTATTACTTGTTACTAATTCGGATAATTTGGTTGTCGGTACGAAGCAGTATTGAGTACATACTGTCCTGCAAGTGTACAGGAATAAGTAGAACAAGCGGTTCAGTATTGTATTCAACATCAATTTCAACATGAAAGAGGACACCCAGAGGAACTTTCCTATCGCCTTATCTGGGAAGGGGGTGGGGATGGACAGTATTTTCAAAATATCCCACGTTTTATGTTCATTTGTTAATCTACCTACATATCAGGTATTAGTACAGAAAATGTCTGTGCTTGTAAATAATAATGTCTAATAATTAGTAAGATTTTTCACTGGCTTACCACCTTAGTTGTGCAGAACTTTACTTTTCTTCCCGTTGATGTGCCCAAGCATATTTCTCTGTAGATCGGATTTCTCTCGGCAGTGGTTGAATACCTTGAAGATGTTTAAATGTGTGAAATGCACAAGTCCCCTCGGCTGCAGTAACAGTATCGTCTGTTTTGCTGCCAGATTTGACTAAATATGAGCTTGCAAGTCAAGTACACCTTTATTTGCCACGGAGACAGAAGTACCAGTCTTACACACCAAACATTCAGCTTCCCAGTCTTCTCTGCCACTTCGAAAATACGGAAATTAGATCCGCTGTGAAGCGAGTGAAGAAACTCTACGTCTCTCTTTCTAACCTCATCTACTGTCCTTAAAACTTTTGTTAATTATTCTTCGTGGTGAAAATAATGTGGTCGAATTGTTGGATATTTGAAAATTCCCCCCGGGAAGGAGATATAAAGATCAAAATAGAGGACATTTCCGGCAAAATCCGGACGTACAGCAACCTTAATTAAGCGGCATATTGCAACTCCTGGGACATATCCGAATATAGTAGCAGTTTATTACTGAAATAAGACCGTTACTCCGGAATAATTTAACGCGTTAGCCTCTGGGAAATGTAACTGTTGGACTTCAGGAATGAAAAGAAGTGTCCATCCAGGCCCAACACATGAATTGAGATTTCTGTAAATCAGTAAATTGACAAAGACTGATAATTAAAGCTGCTCTATATCACCGCAGGTCGACCGTTATTTGTTCACTTTTCAGCGGCCGCTCACGCGCTTGTGTGAAAAGCAGCCTCGCTCGCGCCCCCTGCTGGCGGCTCACTGAACCAGCGGTCGGTTCACACGGACACACGTATTGATTGTGACTGAACACGGTACTGAAATAGATTAATTTTACCTTTCCGAATTACATAATATTCAACTACAATACAATTCCAACCACTTTACAATAGACCTTCGTCGCATGAAGTCATGGGTCCTCAGTATTTCACCGTTTAATGCACAGAATGCCCCACAGTGAGTTTGGAGAGCTCTGTTGAGACAAACAGCCCGTGTAGGGGAACAAATTCAGCAAAACGCAGAAAGAAACGGGAGGCTCAGTCACTTTAAGTCTGTGTGTATACTTCTTTATTGAGAAGGTCTCCACACTGCTGGTACTCAGGGGGAGGAGGGATATTGAGTACAAGGGATACAGTGGGTTAAATGTGTAATTTCATATAGTTCAATGTAAGGGTATATTAATGAAAACACTCTTAAGGGGTCTTTTCAGAAGTTATTGATGTTCATTGCAGAAAAAGTAATAAAAAAGTTATTTCTGATATTTGCATACGTTAATGTTACTGGTTGGATAAAAAATGAACAGCACAAAGTTTGGGTTAAAGAGGAAACAGGCACTTCAGTGCACTTTTATAAGTCCCAGTCCCAGTCCCAAGTCCCAAGTCCCAAGTCCCAAGTCCCAGGTGTGGATCTCCCTCCTGTTCACCTCACACACCTGTTGATGAGACACAGTGCATTTAATTAGGAGGAGCTCAGCTGTCAGGTGTCAGGACAACAACCCACAGCTGGCTCCTCTTAGGCCATAACCGACATTGACTGCCTGTCACAGTTCAGTACCGATCCTACACTAACAAGTCATAAACATTTCGTTAGAGCAATGAATCTGCTTGTAAAACCAACAAGTCTGTACCTGTGTGTGTAGAAGAGAATATACGCATTCCTCTCTCCAGCCTTCAGCACAGACAGCTCGTCGGTCCTCCTCACCCTCTGGTTATTACACTGGAGCCACGTCTGCTCCGCGATGTTAAAAACGTCACTGATGTCATGACCTGCAGAGACAGAGAGATGAGGCTTCTCTCATCAGTGAGACATTATTACACATCACAGTGACAAACCACCAAGGGACTTTTCATTGACTCTACAGGCAGTGTCAGTAGATTTCTCTACATCAGAATAGCATTGCATTGTTTTATGTACTGTATTTAGCTGGTGCGGTTGTTCTGTTGTGTTGGTAACATTTGTAAAGATTTAAAAATATGTTTTTCCCATATGATCTAAAATGTATAGCATGTATTTGGGAAGCACAGAGTCTTTTGTTCACAAAAACCACCCATGGATTCGTCTGGCTCACTGCTCCTTCCTCCTGTTCCCCCTTGTTCTCCTGGTTCACATTCTGTCTGACCTGAGCCACAACCTTAACAGGTCAGAACTATGTCTGTCACCACATCCAGGGTCCCTGAAGACACTGAGCTCCCTATACATTGTGCAAGGATGGGTCATTGCAGGACCACACTGTCCTCACCGATATTGTGTCCCTAACATCTCTGTCTGATGTTCTTGTACACACAACAGCAGGAAGCTCCTCAGATAACTGCACTGCTCATAAACGCTGTTTCTCATGTGATAACAGGTCGGGTTTTTGAATTTGTCTTACTAGAGGTGGAAGTTCTCCCAGCATGGCTGAGGATACCGACTAGCTGATAGTTTGTTGATGGTTCCCCGTTCTGAAACAAACACAGTAAGCAGGGTGAGTGACATTTCACCACTGCCTCACTTGGGCTGCAGTCTGCAATCTCTTCAATCCTCTTTTCTTCTCTTCATAAACCTAAACTCTCACTCAGCTCTCTGTTCTCTTTCAAAGACCCCATCTCTCACTGACTCCAACACAAACTCTTGTCACTCTCTCTGAGCTTCTGTCTGAGTCTGCCCTCATGTTCTCCCTGCTGCCTCTATCTCTCTCCCTCCTCTTCCTCACCAGCTGCTGTCTTTGCTGAGCTTCTGCCTCTGTCTCACAGTGAGGCTCCACTGGGCTCTGCTTCTTTGTTTTCAAGGACATTCAGAAAAAACAGAAATAAAAAGTGTGAACACACATGTCTCTGAAAGTGCAACTTAAGAAATATATAAGGCTATAATGACCATGTCAGAAAACTTGAAGCAGATTAACTATTCTAAGATTTGATCATTTCATTGGTCTGGGCATGTTAAGAGGACATATAATTGTCCTTAAAAATAAATGAAAGAGATTTTCTAAGGATAATCTTCTTAGGATGCGCCAGGTATTGTAGATCTGAAGTAATGACAGGTAATTCAGGAGTTTGTAATTCCAAGTGGAGTGAACTGATCACAAGTTTGTGTTAGGAAGCAGATCACTGAATGGCCACTCATCAGAGAAAGGAACAAATGATCTGATGATCAGTTTAGGACTAAGAAAAGGACTTGAGGATTAGGAAGAATGTGATCTGACAGGAATTAGATTCTGCTCATCTATTGCTGTGGCTGTTTTCGGATATGTGTGAAGGTGTCAGGACTGTTAAGGAGATGTGGGCCAGAGGTGAATGGGGGGTTACCTGGTGATTCTTTCTACTTGTCCTGAGGGGCTGTGGAAGGTCCTGACTGTAAGCTCATCTGCAGGGCTGCAGCCAGGAGCTCTTCTTCACTGAGCCCCTCTAACAACCTGTAGACACAGCATTGAGAGTGTGAGCTCTGCTCTCAAGCAGACTGACAGGACAGGTGCTTTCTCCCCAGAGTTACAGCACACAAAGCTCTCCTTGACTACCTGCTCTCTGTCACTTGCCAGTGGTAATAATTGGCTAGTCTTCATGTCCTCAATCTGGAGTTTATGTACTGAGTTATAAATTTACTATAATTATATCAAGTTCCATAACCCAATAATGGGTATATTGGCAAGTGTGAAGAAAGTGCAGGATACAAACTTCAATACATTGCACTACACTACTACCACTACAATAAAAAACTAAAAGATTAAAGTATACAGTGTTGAAGTGTGAGCATGCAGTGGAAGAAACTGTGCAAGAATTGTGTTATTCTGCAACATAATATCTTACAGTATATCTTAGAGTCTCATAATGTCTTAGAGCTGGATTTTACACTCCACTGACACAGCTGCTCTGTGCTGCAGAGAGTGTGACACTGTGACTGTTTCTGGGCCGAAGCGGGACTCACACTGTGGGCTCTGCTCTCCAGTCCAGAGCACGGGGAAGCTGGACACCACCGCTGCAGTGGGCTTGAGTGGTCAAGCCGCTGGGGATGACCACTGGCTCCTGTAGCTTGCTGTTGTACTGCAGCGTGGTGTCGTACCTGAACCTCTTCAGTGCAGGAAGGGGAAGAGGGACAGTGGGAATATCAGTGAAGAAGCACAATTCACTCCAGTTATATGAGACACTCTCATGAATGCAACAGTGCAGCAATTTACTCTTTATTCACATTCAGTCCAGAATGACCACTAGAGAGTCTCAGCTGTCATTTCCTATGAGCCTAGTGTGCTGTAGATGGGAAACTGGCTTCCATGCTGCTGCACATAAAGATCAGTCAATGCAGAGTGAAACAGTTACGCAGTAACTTCTCTGACACTGCTGTGGGCTTGTGAGCTGCACGCAGACCTACCTGGGCAGTGTGCTGAAGCTTGAGGTGACAGAGGCCAGCTGTCCTGAGCAGCTCTGACACCTCCGCTCAATCTCTGCATCCTGGGCGAAGGAAGAGAAATTGTCTGTGATCAACTGAGACAACCTAGTCAAGGTCACAATTTCGAGAGACCCACTTATGTTCAGACTGAATAACAATAATACTGAATAATAGGACTGATTCACATGATAGCTTTAAAAGCTGGAAATATAACATGGAGAAAACAAAGACGGCTACAATTTCAGTGATACAATCAGGATGTGACACCAGCCAGACTTGAAAAAAAAGATAAAAATAAATAACTGTACACTCTGTATAGCCATATAGTATCAACAGTAT